GGTTTAGATACTGTACTGTCATTACGATTGCCCACAGACTCAACACTATCATCGACTCCGACAAAGTGATGGTAAGCCAGGGTTTGATAAGGGGTTGGGTTCGCATCACTTGTGTTGTACTCATTGTCTGTGTATTGACTGATCAGGTGTTAGACGCGGGACAAGTGGTTGAGTACGACATTCCCCANATCAGGTGTTAGACGCGGGACAAGTGGTTGAGTACGACATTCCCCACCATTTGTTGGACACAAGCGATGGTCTGTTCAGCAAATTAGTGAAACAGACGGGAAATGAAATGTCTATTCGATTGAAACAAATGGCAAAACAATACTATTATCATAAAAATGGTGTCAATTCTGACGCTAAAGTAAATGAAAATGAAGGAAAAGTGGGCATCAATTTGATAAATGAATGATTTGTAGATTATTTAGTAAATTTACATTCATTAAATGTTATTTTATCTTTTTCACGTGTTTTCATTGAAATTTTACCAAATTAATGCAGATTATTATACATTAAAATTATCTGTATTAAAACTTATGTACTTATGTATAAATCTGTATGAAACAGCAAATCTGTACTAAATCAGCAAATTAGTTAAACAGACGGGAAATGAAATGTCTGTTAAATTGAAACAAACGGCGAAACAATACTATAATCACTGCGATATCAACACAAAGATATCAATTTTGTTGAGAAAGACAATAAAAATGAAGAGGTAGTGTACACCAAATTATAAAAATGAACCTAGCTAAACGTTTGTACACTCGATGTTCAGGTGTCTAAATGCATGCAATTGATGGGGGGTGGGTTGGTTGCTAACATAATAATAAATTATTACATTATAATAAATTATTTATTTAAAATGAATTACATTATAAAATAAAATACAAAGTTTATTCATTTTTACTCATTTGACATTTACTGACTTATAAATTATAAGTTATAATGAATACTTTATACTTAATTAGTAATTAGTAACGTCATATTTATTGCAATTATAATCAATTCCTATGAAACATTATATTTAAGGCTCACATTCATTGCGCCATACTTTTAGGGATGCCAGACGTCCAGGAACGTCCTGGATTATCCAGGAAATGGACAATTTTTGCAGAGTCCAGGGAGGTGTATTTCCTGAACATTGAAAAATCCAGGAAGTAAATTTTGGATAAATTAATGTTAAAAATAGTGTTTAGCAAACTCTAGTAATTTAGATTTTTGTATTTTTAATAAGATTTATAGATATCGCTAACAAAAATAGTGAATGCAATGCTATAACCATTTGAAAACTTTGTGTAATTATTGTAAAAACTTTTGAAAAAGACGTTTTACAAAAATTCAATAAAAAATATCAGCATATATATTTTTGCAGTGACTGACAATTAAAATCCAGAAAAATCCAAGAAATTAGCGAAAAATTATCAAATTTTCCAGGAAATGCTAAATTATTTCTGGCAACGCTACATACACTGTATGTAATGTTAGATGATATTAGTTATGATGTATTTTACGCCATAATAAAGTGTAATTGTTTTATATGTGTATTTAAGGTTACAAAACAAACTCAATTTCAATTTTTAATTATGAATGATTTATTTGTTTGTAAACCAGAAATTGGGGCAAATTGTAGTAAAAACAATAATACGATGGAAGTAACCAATGGATTGATAACTATTCCGAGTCCGTGGGATCGCATTAACATTATTTCAAAACTTACATTCAGGTAATTTATTTGAGATATCTACTATTTTAAAAGTAATTGTAAAGTGTCTAAATCAATAGCATACACATACAAATAGCATGTGCATAAACTGTTGTACTTACATAAATACTTAATTGATATATCTCACTCTATAAATTTTTAATTAAATTTTGAATAAACAATCGGAATTTGTAAATAAAAATAACGTTAAATTCAAACTCCTTTTGATAAAAAGTCTCATGCACCTTTTAATTTTTATGTTGAATTCAAACAATAATACTAAATAGTTTGCATCATGAATAATTGTTTATTTTAATTTAGTTGGATGTGGAGTCTATTCATTCGGGCGCACAAAAAGGACCTCGAGTTCAGTGATCTCTACCGGTGCTCAAAATCAGATGAGACAAATCGAGTCCGACAGAAGCTGCAAATGTAACATAAAAATCTGAAAAATTACTTATATTAATAATATTAATACTATAATACTACATATACAGTATGTATAATGCATTGTAAGCATATGTATTTTTATTTGTATAGCAAATGGGATAAACAATTGAGAAGTAAAAACAAACCATCCCTATATTGGGCACTATTCGCATCGTTTGGACCCGAACTTACTATACTATATATCCCTTATGCAATCAGAGTATAATATAGATAAATAATAATTTAAAACAATAACTATAATAAGAAATTGTAAATTAATTAAATTTATATTTTGCAATTAAACAGGAATTGGTACTAAACTTGCTTCAGTCGTATTGTATAGTTTATTTGGTGAGATATTTCAACAATGACCCCAACACTAGCCAGTGGTGGGCCACGTGGGCGGCAGTGGGTATTGTGGTGGCGGCCATTGGAAACATGTTAATCGAATATTTGAATTTAGTCCTGTGCAACAAAGTGGGGGTCAGAATTCGTGCCGCCTGTTGTGCCCTAATCTACCACAATGTAATTAACACAAATTACAGTCTTTTGGTATTGTAAGTCGCGGTTTGTGTAAATTTAGTCGCGATTTCTGTAAACTTAGTCGCGGTTTGTGTAAACTTAGTCATTCTCTCAATGCATTCAATGTGAACAGCGTTATGAGTGCTAATTTATGTGAAGCGCGCTTTCCTGTAACACGTTCTTACAAGCACTCAAACCGGTATGAGCTATGCAGGAAAGCGCGCTTCATAAAAATTAGCACTCATAACGCTGCTCACATTGAATGCATTGAGAACATGACTAAGTTTACACAAACCGCGACTAAGTTTACAGAAATCGCGACTAAAGTTACACAAACCGCGACTTACAATACCAAAAGACTGTAACTTTTGTAATTTTTATTTAAATAAATTTTAATAGATTTTTGTAACATTTTATATAAAGTTAATGCATTTAAGTCATACATCACTCGGAAAGACAACTGGTAGCCACATATTGAACATTATGTCCAACGATATCAACAGATTTGATGAGGTATACAATATTAATAGTTATATACAGATAAATTAAATAATTATAAACAGTGGTATATATTTATTGAGATAGTTTGCATTGCATTCGCGATCATTGTTTGTGGCGCCACTGCAGGCGGCAATTGTGATATACCTGTTGTGGTCACACTTGCGGTGGGCGTGTCTGACGGGAATGGGAATACTTGTGCTGTTTATACCATTTCAAGTACTAATGGGACGTATGTTTCGTAGAGTACGTCAAAAGACGGCTAAATTAACCGACAGTCGAATCCGTTTAATGCAAGAGATTATCGCCGGAATGCGTGTCATAAAGATGTACGCCTGGGAACAGCCCTTCGCACAGTTGGTCGCAACCGCTCGCAAGTAATGCCACAAATGATAATTTTTTAGTAAACATATAGTTTGTAAATACTGTATTAAACAAATAATACATTTATTTATTTTTAGGTCCGAAATGAAACAAATTCGGTATTCAAATTTTTTGAAAGGTGTTAACCATGCAATATATTATAGTATAATACGAGTTATAATATACGCCTGTTTTCTAACATATATATTTATGGGCGAAAAGTTGTCGGCGGAGACAACGTTCGCCACTATTGCCTACTTTAATGCCATGCGTTGGTCTATGGCTAAGAACGCACCCCTGGCTATAACGGCATTAAGCGAGCTAATTATAGTCATCAAACGTATTCAGGTAGTTAGGATAATTTATGCAATTTGTTGATTTGATAGTTTAGATTTTATTAAAAATTACAATTATTTACTTTCATAGAATTTTCTATTACTCGAAGAGATGAGTGGTTTGGATGAGAGGGAAGGGAAAGACAACGAGGCGTTCATTTCGGGGGAAAATGAGATAATTCTCGGAGTAATGGAAAACACTTTAAATAATAAAGAAAACGGCGTTTTTATGGACAAAATGAGCGTTCGTTGGAATAGTGTATGAATTCATTGTTGTCTTTTGACACGTGTTTAGAGTTTTATGAATACATTAGGAGACGACTGAACCCACGCTTCGGGACATTAGTCTGAGTGTAAAACCCGGCGAACTGTTGGCTGTCGTCGGTTCGGTTGGCAGTGGAAAGGTATGAGGTTTATAATTCACAAATTTTCATTACAATTATTACTAATCATTATTAAACTTATAAAGAGCTCACTATTGATGTCAATATTAAATGAGATATCGCTAGTGTCGGGTCGAGTGGTAGTGAGGGGTCGGGTGTCGTACGCGCCGCAGGAGTCGTGGGCTTTCATAGCGAGTGTTCGACAGAATATTCTGTTTGGCTCTCAATATAATGAAGAGAAATACAATCGAGTGGTGAAGGCGTGCGCTTTGGACACAGATTTCAAACTCATGCCATTTGGGGACAAAACACTTGTGGGGGAGAGAGGGCTGGCATTGAGTGGCGGACAGAAGGCTAGGCTGAATCTGGCCCGGGCTCTGTACCACTCAGCAGACATCTACCTCTTGGACGACCCCCTGAGCGCCGTCGACACACATGTAGCCAAACATATCTACCAAAAGTAAAATTCTGTAATTAATTAAATTGTAAAATCTAAAAATTTTATACCATTGGATCAGATGTTGTGTTGAGTACCTGAAAGACAAGGCGACTATTTTAGTGACCCATCAAATCCAGTTTCTCAAAGACGCGCAGCAAATACTTGTGCTCAACGACGGCGAGTGTGTGGCCATCGGGTCCTACACTCAGCTCAAAGAGCGCGGCATTGATCTCATGGCATATCACAGACAAACCGATGGACCAAATGATAGCAGATCTGTGAAGAGGAGGTCATCTGTCACGCCATCGATAGTCTCAATCATTACTGAGGGATCGGATGTGACGGACGTTTGGGAACCGATAGAAGTGGGCGAACAAGAAGTGAAGGCCGAACTCAAAATGATTGGATCCGTTGAGACCACTGTTTATATGGATTACATTAAGGCCGGCGCCGGACCTCTGCTCGTAGTTCTTACTATTTTGTTTATAATCAATTCGCAAGTCATTTATCAGGGAAGTGATTATTGGTTGCGTTTATGGTCAGTACTATTAGTGTTAAAAAATAGTTTAAATTTAATTTAACACAATATTTTAGGACTAATGAAATGAGCAAAAACCCAGATGAAGTTGACCAGACATTCAACATAATAATCTACACGAGTCTAATCATTGGTCTGTTTGTGTCGGCCCTGTTGTCCACCATTTGTTTCTACATAATGTGTATGAGATCTTCTGTTAATCTCTATAACCGAATATTCTGTGCGTTATTGCGATCACCGATACATCTGTTTGAGAGTTCGCCCATCGGTAACAGTTTTTGCTATCATTTTAATGAAATATAAATTTATTTATTTGAAAATAATTTTAGGGCGAATACTAAACAGATTTTCAAAAGACACGGGAATTGCCGACGAATTGTTACCATCGGTTGCCTTTGAATTTATCATTGTAAATCAGTGCAGTTTAATTATTTAATTAAATTATCCTGATAACTTTTTAATAAATATCCATAGGATTTAAGTTTTATTATCGGAAGTCTTGTATTGAATGCAATCGTCAGTTGGTTTTTGATATTTCCGGCAATACTTTTGTTGATATTAGTGTTTATTTGTCGCTATTTTTATATCAGAGCCGCGAGAGATATAAAGCGTATGGAAGGGTTGTGTATGTATTGTCACATCATTTTACTTTTAAAATTATTTACTCTCTACTCTTTAATCTCTCTCTCTCTCTCTCTCTCTCTCTCTCTCTCTCTCTCTCTCTCTCTCTCTCTCTCTCNGCTCTCTCTCTCTCTCAGCCCGGAGTCCGGTGTACTCTCACGTGAACACAACGCTGTGTGGGCTGACATCGATCCGTGCGTTTGGCGCACAGCATATGTTTGAGCGTCAGTTTGAAGTCCACCAAAACGACAACACCTCTACATATTTCCTATTCGTTTGCACTTCCAGAGCACTCGGAGTCCTAACCGATACCATTTGTATCGTATATCTGAGTGCTGTTATCGTCTACATTATGACCAGTAGTGACGGTATGCTTGTAATGATTTTATATTGAATAATATTTAATTGTGTTTATATTCATACAGGTATTCCCGTAGGAAATATAGGACTTTTGTTAACATCGGGTATAAAATATACAGTATTATATAAGTCATACATTAAATATTAAATATAATTATATAACAACTAGTTTTAACTTAATTGTAATATTTTTAAACACAATAACAGCAATAACGTTGACCTCTTTGAGCCAAAGTTGTGTCCGATTATCGGCTGATACCGAGTCCTATATGACTGCTGTCGAGCGAGTGCTCGAATACACAGCCATTAAACCCGAGGCAGAACTCGAGTCCACTCCCGACCGGATACCGCCCAAAGATTGGCCACAAATGGGAGAAATAGTGTTCAAAGATATGAGTCTTCAATACAACGAATCGCCGCATAAA